TTGGAGCAGGTGCGCCAGATCCTCCTTAAGGAGGAGGCGTCTTCCGGCTCTGGCTTCGGCGGCGGACACAGCGCTCCTTCTTCCTCTTACGGCGCTCCCTCCTCCTCCTACGGCGTGCCCTCCTCTTCTTACGGCGTGCCCGGCTACAGCGGCCGCGTCGTCGACATCAACCTCGAGGGCGTCCGTCAGGCCATCCAGGTCGCGCAGTACGAGCAGTCCGGAGGCTCCAGCGGTGGCTACCCCTCCTCCTCCTACAGCGCCCCCTCGGGCAGCTACGGCGCCCCCTACTAAGAGGGAACATTCATCGCGTTCGTGATTCGGGCGCAACGCCATCTCTCGTCCGAATAGTTAAACGTTAACCGATGGATCACCGGCCACGTACAATGTAGGTGGCCGCGGTCTGTGCCAGCTCGGCCAACGCCTGCGACTGTGCGCGCTCACGGGTCTGCCGCCGGCGGGGGGACAGTCGCTCCAATTCTCACGCGAAGTGTCCCACCGCCGGCCTTCACTCCTTGTTTTGTATAAAGTTTATTGTTAATTTAGTTTAATTTATTTTTAAGTTTTTTTTTACAAAAAAAACAATAAATACATTTCGACACCGTATACGTTTGTTTCACTTCACAACATGAGTATGCTAACTGCTACACGTTACGTAGGAGTAGTTAGTGTAAGAAACATTCTCTAGCAAAAGGTCACGCTGTAACCTTTTCAGGTAAGTATTTTATGAGACCCTTCTCCAATTGACCATTTGCTGTTCGATACACCTATTGCTAAATCCATTCCTTTTGTTTTGAAACTTTGGAAAGTACAATATTATTCCGATAATCAATTCAATGAAATGTGGTTACTCCTCTTACTCAAGAACCATTCTAAAACATTACGCGAACACATTATTATCAGTTGTAGAAACTTTAATGAACACTTTGATGTATTATTGTACATTCTCATGACTAATTAAAGGGCCACGAAACTCATTGTTTATTAATTTAAAATCGATTTTACTAAAAAGTATCAATTATTTGGAATGAAAGCGCACGAATCAAGAAAAATAATTTTAAATGTGATCGGCCGTGCTCACTTCGGCTGTGGCACTGTTATGCCAGATATATTATGTAGTTCTAGTATACATTTGTATGAGTAAAGTATAAAGAAGTAAATATTCACAGCTAAATAACCGCGGGTTTCGGAGCCACAAAAGCTGACCTGTCGCTACCAACGGATCATTATCATTGTAGCACAACTCTAATCGCTGTTTCAGGGTTCTCACTAAACTAACGTCTGCATTGAGTCAAACTTTGAAAGTATGATTTATGTGTTTGTTCATACACAAATACAAAAC